AATGTTGATTTGATATTTTTCATGTAATTGATCAAATCAAATATAGGGTCGAATGAGAAAGTTAAAGTGTAGGAGAGTTTTCTTCAATTCCAATACCTTGAAAGCACATTACCCAATCGGCGCACTTTTTCTCATGTATATGTATTTTGGTATTTCTGGTCGGGTTCCAATGTCGAAAAAAGGAAAATAGGGTTTTATGGGTAACACTGTCGCTTGAGCGACAAGCGAACGACAACCATTCTGTTTTTGTCGCTTGAGCAACCACTTGGCGAGTAGTTAGTGAAACTTTAACGACACATCTTGCCCTACTTCATAGCTCGAACCCTAGCACACTTTGCCAAAATTGCAACTGAGTCCCTCATCTTTTACACATGTACACAATGACCCCTAACCTTTAATAACTGACAAATTTACCCCAAGCTTTTGAGCATTTACAATTTTACCCTTTTGTTCACAGAATAGCCAACACAAAATCTAACAAACTCCTCCTTTGGCATGCTATGACAAAACTAAATTACAATAGCATGAACTTCAATGACAATCCAATACACTGACTTAACTCACTATTGCCTTGTCATCTTTCAACCTGTCTCCTGAAATCACAACTCACATATCCAGTGTAAAAGCACGAGAAACTGTAACATAAGTAAACATAAAAGATAAAGAGTCATGAAGAGCCATAATATTGTACCAATATGCTAGATTAAGAGATAATATCAGTGTAAGTCAAACCACCGAAAATATACATCAATAGTGCAAAGCATCAATACATAATCTAGCCATAAATATCAATAGTACATTATCATCAAAAATATCAATAGTACATTATCATTATAAATCCCAAAAATTAACCCACTCCCCATTTTTGTCACAAATTGCAAGGGGAACCCCAAGCAACTAAGCAGGACCATTATCTTCGCCATCCACGTCCTCAGAATCCTCAGCTTCAGACTTATAATCCCAGTGCTCGCGCATCCATCGAATACTGCGCTGAACAAGAGCAATAGCCCCTCGCAATGTAGCAAACTCCGTAGTATGATGCTCGGAAGTAGCTCGTAACTGAGTAATGTCAGCCAGCATGTGGGCTTGCTGCTCAATGAGAATCGAAATCTAACCTATAAGTGCGACAGTGGGGTCAACATGAACAATAGCCGGAGCAGGCTGGTCGGGTGGCGGAATGGAAGTGGAAGAAGAGGGAATATTTGAAGTGGACGGAGGAACCTCGGAAGGAGGCAGATGAATAGTTGAAAGATCAGCAAGTAAATCACCTAAAGGATCAGCAGGCACTGTTGGGTCGACAGGCTCAGCTGGCTCAGCATGAGCAGATGCAGAGGCAGAAGAAGTCACATGTGACCTACTTTGAGAGATGGTAGTGTGCCTTATGGGACGAAGCACTCGTCGTGAGACCCCATCGGAAAATGAAGCCCCAAGTGATGTCACGAAGTGGTGGATCAAGCAAACATAAGGCAGACCAATCCGATGACTGGAAGTGCGAAAGGTACGCAAAATGTGTTGGCAAATGAAGGTAGGTAGGTTAATCGAATCCCCATATAGTAAAGTAAAAAAGAAACCTCGCCTTGTCCATAGGTAGGGAAGAAGTGTGAGAGACGGGCTACAGATTTGTACACACAATGCGCAACAAAATCTGCATATCAGTGGGGAGTAAACCAGTGCGGATCGTCTCTGGCTCACCTCCCAAAGGGCTTTTAAACAAAGTGGACCGAACCAGAGAATCGGTCGAAATAGAATCAGCCAAGAGATATGGGTAAACGGGGTGAATGACCCAGGGAAAATGTATGAAACTGGAAATAAAATCAGGTGAAATCCTAAGGGTTTGACCTCGGAGGAACACCCAGAAGGACGAACCACTAATGTCATGGATGTTCGCATAGAACTCCTGAACAAGAAGACTAGGCGGGGAATTTAACACAATCGGCAAGGATTCCCAAACTCGAGAAGTAAAGATAGCTGCTACATCGGGGGATAGGTCAGATAGAGTAACCTCACGCTCTACTAGGGCAGGATGACGTGAAAACTAGCTCCCAAAGATTTCTTGAGCAGTAGAGGAAATGAACCGAGAACGACTAAACGAACCCGATCCACTACCAGGCTGAGCTGTGGTCCTAGCCCTCTTGGGTGCCATCTGTAATGTGAGATGTAGAAGATAAATCAATCCCCAAGGAAAACGAAGTGAAGGAGACACATGACTATACAAGCCCTAAAGTGCAATCATACACAAGCCCGAGGACTATGACCAAGACGGAAGTGACGTGAACTAGACATAAACAAGATCAAGATGAGATTTTGACACACATAAAAACTTCCAATATCTATGGAGAATTGATGAGTCCTATGTCAAACAACCCTCCAAACGTAGTACATGCAATAACGGAGAAGTGTAAGCACCGATTTGGTAGGTGATTGGTGTGAAGTTTGATGACTTAATAGGAGAAGTGTGCACATCACGTTATTGGAAATAAGATCAAATAAATAATTAACTCACATGTTTAGTACCTAAGACATCAATCACACGTGAGAAATGGCACACAATGGGCAAGAGAAGCAAGGCTATGGTGAGGAGGCATTTCATCGAACACATTGTAGGTACAAGGAAGATAAGCTACAATTGTAATAATACAAGAGACACCCAACAACCCATAACAACACCATCTACTTAGCACACCAAAAACACCCAAGCCTAAAGGAACCAAATGGCGAAAAGAAAAACAAAAAAATCACCAACAGCCAAATGAAAAATCAAGGCACTTACCAAAAGGGAGGAAGGAATCACCAAGGAATGCACACAAGGAAGGGGAATAGAAGTTCCACACATGAGAAATCAAGGGCAAATCGACCAAAGAGTGTCGATTTGAGAGAAAAAACGAGAGAGAGATGGGAAGAAATGAAAAAAATGAGATGGAATAGGCACGAGAAAATTAAAAGTCTTGCTGTCGCTCGAGAGCGAGCGACAAAGGCACTGCTTCTGTCGCCCGAGCGAGCCCCAGCAACAAGCGAGCGACAGGGAAATGACAAAAATAGCACCTAAACTTGAAAATTTGAAAAGTTAGGCCCAGGTTTGAAATTTAGAAAAGTAACAACACTTTAGAAATTTTCAAAAATAGCACCTTTTTCAGAAATTTGAATTTAGACCCCAAAATTTATTTTTTTTAAAAAATTTAAAATACATGAACAATGCAAAGGCAGTTGGTCCAATCAAAGACAATATATCACAAATACGACATGCACAGTGATTAAAAAATGTTTACCCACACACCGGGACCAAGTACAGACGGAGTAGATTGTATATGTGACTCGTCGTGAAACGTGCCACTCATTCCAAGCAAGTAAGACTCAAAATCTTAAATTTGTGAGAAGAGACAGCCAAATCACCGACATAGGAATCAACACTTAGATGTTTGAAGGTCAAATCCAATGCTACTAGGACCTATACTTCGTTAAAATATAGCGTAAAATTGTTCTTTCTCCCCCTATCATTAAGGACCTCAAAATTTTTTTATATTATTTTATTTTTTGTTATCTTACGTGCAATCTCATCTCCATTAAGCTATGAAGAAGACTCCTTTAACGAGTGTTGGGTCGGTGACTCCCAAACCAGTTGGCTTTAGGGCACCATATTATGAGAAACCCTTCAAACTTAATTGCTCGAGTCATCTAAGCTCCGAAGATAGGTATAAGATGTGATATAATAAATACTCTATGGAAACACTCGGGGGTACACCAGAAGTTAGGTCATCTAGTCCAAGATCAATTCAAATCCAATGTCTACTCAACGACAGATGATAGCCATCCCAAGTCTCACACATGCGGTCAAGACTCACTCACACGGCCCTATTGTGTGTTGTGCAAATATAATATGAAGTGACATATACTAAGTACTCCATACAGACTCAGGATAAGTGATGGGAATTAGAAACTAATCATGTGTAGAATGCACATTTAATTTCAAATTGCAACTCCGAGGGAACAACTACAATGCAAAAATGACATGTGATGATCAATCCCCCCCTCTTTTTATTATTATTACAATTTTATTTTTATTTTATTTTTATTTTTTTTTGTTTATTTATAAAAAAAAAGAAAGACAGATGCAAATGAACACACAGAGGTAACGTAATGAATGCAGAAAAGAATGCATGCATCTATGAAGATGATCAGGGAGAAACACAGATGCCAACAGCCTTCCTAAGTGACTCGAATCTAAACCCATCTAGAGGTTTAGTGAACAGATCGGCAAGTTGGTTTTCAGCAGAGATGTGTTCAAGAGAAATCACATTGGACTCAACTAGCTCTCGAATAAAGTGATGACGAATATCAATGTGTTTGGTCCTAGAATGCTGAACCGGATTTTTCGATATGTTGATAGCACTAGTATTGTCACAGAAAACAGTCATAGTACCCTGATTTATCCCATAGTCACTGAGCATTTGCTTCATCCAAAGCAGTTGAGTGCAACAGCCACCAACTGCAATGTATTCTGCCTCGGCTGTGGACAAGGAGACTGAGTTTTATTTCTTACTCATCCATGAGACAAGATTAGAACCAACATAGAAACATCCACCCAAGGTACTTTTTCTATCGTCGGTGTTTTCGGCCCAATCGACATCAGAATAGCCGGCTAGTTCTAGATTGGACTCTGTGGAATACAAGATCCCATGATCTACTGTCCCATTGACATATCTAATAATGCGCCTCACTACACTTAGATGGGGCTCTTTAGGATCAGCTTGAAATCTAGCACATACACCGACACTAAACGCTATGTCAGGTCTACTGGATGTAAGATATAGTAAACTGCCTATCATGCTCCTATACACAGTCTAATCGACACTCTTACTTGTAGGATCATGTCCTAACTTAACATTTGTGCTCATGGGTGTCCTTGTGTGTTTCTTACTGTCCAAATCAAATCTCTTCACAAGGTCTTTGGCATATTTTGATTGAGAGATAAACAGCCCACAATCAGTTTGCTTTACTTGAAGACCAAGGAAGTAACTTAGCTCCCCAACCATGCTCATTTCAAATTCTTGTTTCATACATTCAGCAAATTCAAGAGCAATGGAGTCAATGGGAGAGCCAAAGATGATGTCATCGACATAGATCTAAGCTACAGTGATAGTTTCTTCAATATGTCTAATGAATAAGGTTCTGTCAGTACCATCTCGTGAGAACCCATGGTCAATGAGGTAAGTGGTGAGTCTGTCATACCAAGCTCTAGGAGCTTGTTTCAAACCATACAGTACTTTATTGAGTTTGTAGACATAATGAGGAAAACTTAGGGTCAATGAATCCTTTCGGCTG